TTTGAGGCTGTGTCGAGCCATTAAGCTACGGCAGGTCCCCCGGATTCATTATTTCCTCATGTAGGCGGTCAAATGGACATTCACATGATAACCATAGTAACTGATGAGGTCAACTCTCTTGTCCAGTCCCATGGACATAGATTGGGGACTGAGAACTGTGCTCATGTTGGGAGTATATCAGTTATATTCTGTCCCGGGTATTCAGGTGTGCGATGTAACGAGCAGTCTGATAGATTAGCTGCTGCTGCTCATCTTGGCGATGAGTTACTTTATGATAAAGCGGACGTAGTGAAGGCGATCTGGAATCAAAGGGACAGTTCAGCAGAACAGAGAGAGAATCCAGACATTGAAAGACTTATTCAACGGGAAAAATCGAGGAAAGGTGGGGGGAGGAGAGGTCATGGAAGATATTCAACACTAAGGGGGGAAGCATAGGCGGGCGTTTAATCAGGTTGCAGCTGGTACTATTAGCATGTCATGTCGAATCTTGGTTGGCTACTGAAGAGGGGGGATGGAGCATGTGTAGGAATGTCCTGAGGGTAGTGATGTCAGTTCTTTATTCGTTCATACATTCATGTGGACAGGCACGGCAGAATGCTGGACATCTGCTTCAGACATGCAGCCGAATGATGTCTGGCCAGTTACCGTTCTAGTTGAAACCAAGCTGCAAATATCAGTAGAGGACATGCATCCCACCACAGCTTTCACAGCAGCTTCTGGCGTTTTCCTCTTAAAACCATTGTTGAGGCAATAGTAATTTTAGGGGGTTGCGTGGTCTCGCGGTATAACATTCGTCTCAAGTGCTGGAGGTCCCGGGTTCAAACCCCGGCGAAGGCTGGGATTTTTTCACGTGGACTACTTGGTTTCTGGGTAGTATGACCGGACGCCCGTGTGTATTGTTGCGCCTTTAAACAAAAATACCTGGCCAATTGGAAATCGAAAAAAAGTAACCTAACAGCGCTGGCTGAGCAAAATTAGGAGTTAAAAAAATCTACCCACAGTATGTCTGCATCCTCGCCGGTGTTTCGGAGTTCATGCACTGCGCTGAGATTCTTTAGACTCAGGCTTGAGTTGGAAGTAGAAAGGAGCACTTATGGGTTACACCCATGTGCCATGTTAATCCGTTTAATAAACAATCATAATTTTCTCTTGGTGTCTTGAAGAAGGTGCCGTCTGCGCGATGAGGGTTTGACAGGATCAACACCAACTGCCAAGTCATTGTTTTTAAATGCACAACAATAAACACGGGCGTCCAATTTTGCTATCCAGAAACCGGGAAAGTCCACGTGGAAAAAATCCCAGCCTTCACTGGGGTTTGACCTCGGGATCTTCAGCACTTGAAGGGGAACGCCTTGCCTCAGGACCACTCAAACTTCCCCCACCCCACCCCCCAAAAGTGCTGATTTGTCTATAAAAAAGATGTCTATCCCTATATTCCTAAAGGAGTGGAAAGGGGTCTGTAAGTACATTTATGTAGGCATTGGTTGGCACAAATGAAAGAGTATGCATGTGTACGAAATGTCAAATAGTTATGCTTACACGGATAAGGATGAAAGGAATTGCACACATGTAGTGCTGTCTGCGTGTATGAATGCTCGAGTGCATGTACGCATACACTTAGTTGTGTGCGTCCATGTACTACGGGGGTTCATACCTAAAACCATCCCATTCTACATCATGCATACAACATAAACATGACCAATATAGCTCACAACAAGATATGACTGACAACAAATTTGGAAAACAAGTGAATCGACTCTGACAGGACTAGAAGACATAACCACCAATACCAACCCATCATTGGGATGATAGCAAAGGTTGGTAACGTTGATACACATAATCCCGGCTAAAGGCCACGCTAGAATCCAGCAAGACGGCAACGACGAGAAATGACTGAATGGTTTCTCCCCCCCCCCCCCTTCCCCTCACTACCTCTTTCAGATGCACTATAAGTTCAACTCCCACAGAGATCACTTGAGTTCGTTACACAACATGCAACAGCAATTCTCATCGCCGAACATTTGGATCTCACAGCGTGAGCTAAATGCTCCGGTTATATGGTATTTACGCATACCAGAGCCTAGCTGCCAACCCAAACAGACACAATCGGACCACACACTAACAAACGACGATTAGATCCGCTTTAAGGCTCCACACAACATTTTACTAACATATCCACATGAAATGACTAACCCGTTCTTATTTCAGGAAGACAACTATAAGATCACTATAGTCACACGTGGAATAATTGCACATTTCGGAACTATCAAAACTCAAAAACTTGTCAGCAGTTTTTGGAAAAATTAATACTCAAAATTTTAAAACTGTAAATGGTGGTCCAAAGGATGTTGTGTGGAAAACACCCCCCTACCCCCCCCCCCCCCTTTTTTTTTTTTACAAAATTTGCCTGGCCAAATCAAAGGGAAACAACACAAACTGGAAACACTAAGACGAGGGAAGACATGCACAAGTAACAACAGAGTGGAGAACGAGCGGCCTGATTCGGATGGAAGCATCAAGCCCAGAAATAGCACAAACACTAGAATTAAGTCACGAAAGTGATCAAATAACCCAGACCACAAATATAGGCAGACTGCTAGCAGCAGTCAGAACGTGGTCGAGCTTTTCCTTTTTCTCTCAAAAGGACTAGGACAAGGGGTCATTTACTTGCTTGCCTTTAGAAGATAATTTGCAATTGTTTTCAATCTCGACAGGGACTATACTGCTCATTATTTTAACTATACTATAATCCTCTGCCAACGGTCTGGACATCCTTACCCAAAGGACTTCAAGTAACATCGAACTGGGTGCCCTAAATATAATGAGCTCTGACTTGGAAGTCCCCAGTAAGTTGACTCTTGTGACATGCTTGTTGATAGGCAGTGGGTTTATTTGTCTTTCCTCGGAAGGGGGATAAACATATTAATATGTATTGATTTGCACTGTCAACTCCGGGGAAAAGTTCAGGCTGTTCATTCGCTTCCAGATTTTAGTCTGTTCATCTCCCCTATGTTTGTCTCTCTAACTTTGTTTCTGTAAATCACTGCTTCTGCTTATCTGTGTTTGTTTACCTTTCAGTTTGTTCCTCTGTTAATCTCTGTGTATAATTCTTTCTTTATGTTTTTCTCTGTTTCTGTGCTTATTTCTGTCAGTCACTGATTTTCAGTGACTCTACATTTCTTCTTTTTCCTGTTCTTATGTGTTTACCCTTAAAATAGTAGCTGGCACATTATGTTATGGTTTACAGCAAGGCTGTCAGATCTTCACCTTTCCATCCAGCCCAACTAACTATACCAACTCCCAACTAGAATTTACAACATGCTTATGGGGGGGAGGTGAGTCTGTGTCCGCTCAAACTTAGTTTCAGTGTTTGTCAGTATGTCTGTCACCCCCGAGACTGATCTACCTGTATTTATTTTTCTCACTTCTATTCATTTCACTTAATCTCTCAGACTGCCAAACCAGGTGGAAATAACTGGCTTGAGTTTGTTGAGGGCCTATGCTTCACTGCGATAAAGGGCAGAAAAACAGGACACAAATAAAGAGCTATATTTCTATCATTTTATTCTAAAAACATATTACTGCCTTCAAATATTTGCTGGTGATTTTAGTCACAGGTCTGAGGAAAAATTAAAATCCTTATGTACATGGGGAAACATTCTGTACTCGGTCTCAAGCGCCAGCAGGCTATGTACTGGTTTTACGGATTCCTGCCAAATGTCCAACTAAGAGTTGGTGGCCCCCAAAAATTGTCTAGCACTTGCCAGCCCACATCACTGCATTGTTGATAACATTCACAGAAAATGTATTTAGAATATGAGTAACGTGAAGTCCACCAAGTATCTCCTAAATAACAGACAATGGGTCAAATGTATGTTGACCACAAGTCCTTGTGACAAACTGGTTCAAATGTCTGTCGACTGAGACTCCTATGGAACCAAAGGTGCTGGACTGATTCCATCTATGATATTGGATTGCACTGGATAAAAAATGTGACACATAGCTGTGGTACGACAGGATAATGCACTGTGCGAAAAGAGACACACAGTAACCTGATGGCACATTTTTATTAGTTGAGGGGGCCTGTACGCTTAACATCTATGGACGACCCAGATGGAAAAGAACGTCAAGTGACTGGCTGAACCCTAATGTATTCTCATGTGCAATTTGAATGACTTCACTCCTTACAATATCAAGATTTTGAATGTGAAAATTATGACAATGTTTTTTCACTAGCCATGCATTTTTTTTTCTTTGGAATAGTATGGAATATTCAACAACCTCTGGGTCTAAGAACTAACAAGCTAAGTGACCTTTCCGTAGATTTGTTGTTTATGTAGTTGCATGTGTGCCCCTTGTGGTTTTGTGTACATACAAGGGATATCTAGCCCCTGCCTTAACTCTGTTCCTTGTGGCTGTTGGTTTTCATAGCTGATGCTGATGATAACATGTCTGGCTCTGGCTAAGAGCTTAGTGAACGCATTTTACAATCCTTCAGGTAATCTCTCTAAGCTGTGGGTAGTTAAGAAAAGGGCCATCCTTGGAGTTATTGGATAATGCAATGAAAGTCACACCATAAAGAAAAGGACATTGCAGCTTCACCATATACCACCCCATCCTTTCCCCAAAAGTAGTGGACACTTAAACCCACAGCAGCTAACACCACTGTGGAAACTACCATCAGGTGCTGTGTTGTAACGCATAGGCTGTCATGTTTCGTGACCTTTAAAGATTCATTGATCAGGTCTATAACTGTACCCCATCCATGTGGCCAAGCTATCGAGGTATTTATCTCTATGCTTTCCACCAGTCTTGCCAGTTGTTACCCAGTTCCAGAGTTCATTCCTTCTCCTAACATATCCAAAAATCACCGGCTGTCTATGTCCAACTGTTCTAATAATATACAAATACAGTCCCATATTCTAATTACCTGATTTTATACCCCATGAACAAAAAGCAAGGAATAACAAAAATTACCAAAGGCACACAAAACACTATCATCAAGAGGTTGAATCTATTTTCTGTTTCTTGGCTTCTGTGTTCTCCTTGTTCTTCTTAGGGGCTGATCTTTTCAAGCCTTTCAATTTCCTGGCCTGTAGTTTATCAAAGTCTTGTGTTTTCATGTGAATGCGACCCAGTTTGTTGCCAAGATCATCTCGGGATATGTTCTTCTTCTTCTTCGGCTGAAAAAAAAAAAGAATTCAAAATAATAAAGATATGGGAAGAGAAATAGAGGAAGACTTCGGACGACAATATTTGACAGCTCTTTGTTTTGGATCTTTAATCCTAATTCTTGCATTCTTAGCAGCAATGTAGATGTGATGCTCACAAATCCTCAGATTGTTCTACCTCACTAAGGGCATCAACAATGTCAGCACAGTACATGGGACAGCCATCTGCAACTAAGCCAGATCTGGCCAATCTATCAGCTCTTCTGTTACTGATACATGAAGACCAGAAAAAGCTTGACAGCCCATGGAAGTAATTCACATCACAGTGCACATATGGAGGTGGTGGGTTGGGGGGGGGGGGGGGGGGGGGGGGGGGGGTGTGTGTGTGTGTTGAAAATTCAACAAATTCCAGTGTCAGAAAATGTGTGGAAGACGGTAGTGTTGGGCACTTTTCTTCTTAAGTGTTCACCCTCAAAAGGGTGGCTTGCATGTACTGTTGTCGTTTACAGCTAGACCATGATATCTTATTATATATATATATATATATATATATATATATATATATATATATATATATATATATATATATATATAATATATATATATATATATATATATATATATATATATATATATATATATATATGTTGTTATTGATCCAGCAGCGCACGAGCTTTCGTCCTTTGGTCCAATGCCATGTAGTGGAATTTACATGTTGTCACAAGCTGATCTTTTGTGATGAGGTGAGCAGCCACCCTACACAATGGACGAGTCACGACTTTGATTTCCCTCGTGGACAGTAAAATTTGAAACTTGAACCCGTCCGGAAAGGCATATAGTCCCTTAAATTGATATATACCTTTATCTGGTAAAATATTAATTTCTAGACCCTCTAGTTGCTTTGATAAATCTTCATTTTCAAACTTGCAACTGTGGGTTGGCGAATTCTAGTATTTTATTTAGAAATTCCTGTAAACCGGTTTACTCCTTAGGCAGGAATACAGGGGACTTCTTTCCTAGAGACGCTAGTTTGATTTTGGGAAAAAAAAAACATTCTTTCGCCTGATCCCAAAGTGTCTAGATGTGTATACAGTCTATGTAGAAATTGGCGCATTCAAAGTTCCATTTCTATCTTGGAAGATTTCCAAAGCTTAGGTAAGTTGATTATAGTTTTTGAGTACCATAATTGATGTCTTTCTAAAGTTGGCCACTGCTGCAGAGAGGGCAGAGTCAGCTGGGTGATCGCACAGAGTTCGACCGTTCTTGATGTCCAGAGATCAGGATCCGAACCTTAGACCTTCCCCTGTACAGACTAATTAGTTGGTGCTCTACATAACCCACACCATTTGTAAAGATATTAAACCCTACAAGTAATTATTCTCTGACCAGTCAAACGAAGTTTGTGTGGCATAACTGAAACAGGGAATTTAGGTCATCTTTAACCAGCAGTCAGGGCTAGGCGCTCTGAGTCAAAGGTGTGTTTGACACAGATTCAGTGGGTGTGTAATGAACGGCCTGTGGAGACGGAATATATATAAAGGTACTAACTGTAAACATTGTATGTCTGCGAGTGCAGATGTGAGGGTGGAGAGAGGATGATCTATGTGTGGTAGTGTCTGTCTATCTCCACTATATACCTTGTTTTCTATCTGTTGCACTATTTTACAGACAAATAAATGAAAGGAGACATTGTCTCCTGTTCTTGTGAGTTACACTCTGAGGATGGAGAAAGGTGGCAGAGGTGAGATGAGCTAATGTGTGTGAATAAGGCTGATTACCAATTCTGAGTTCTTTCCTGACAGGATGATACCTCCTTAGAGATCAGGCAGACGAATCACAGTCCAGCCAACCACCACCAACCCATACCATTCTGTGCACCAAGAGTATCCCAAAAGTCCTGTATGCAGTGCCACTACCTCAACATGGCAAGAGCTTGTTTGTGAGTTCCAGGACCAGTGGACAATTGCAGACACATATGTCATCAATCCAGAGAACCAGTCTTCACGAGCTTTGTTGGGCTCTTCTGCATTTATTGTGTCATCACCTGTGAGACCGGCAGCGGGCATCAGTCTCCAAGAGCTTTGGTGGGTTCCTGTCAGTTCCTGTGTCCTAGCTCGTGACAGTCAGCTGGTACCAGATCAAATCAAGGCCCAACTACTGATCGAATCAACTACAGTCGAATCACCATGGACTGAGGGGAGCATTGACCTACGAACTGGGCTAAGTGATCTTTTATTCACCCTTCATGCTCTATTCCCACAGACCGATGATGAACTCATGTACTCTCCGAGAACAAGATCTGGCTGCTTCAATATCTGGGTGGTGTCATTGATTCCTGAGCTCCATTCAATGAACTCTTGTTGATCTAATCACTATTATATGTATATATTGTACCGATTACATGCACAAATTTTCATGGCTGACTTGGGTGTCCTATTTCACCATTCTAACTGTCTAGCTTTGATGATTGTGTGAGCAATAAGTGTTATATGTGTTAACATGGTTATGATAGTAAAATATCATAACCTGGGGGCTATTTTTTATAGTAGTGGGGGTGTCCAGCCAAGTGTGCCTAGGAATATTATATATTTTGTAGTGCCAAAACTTGAGTTGCCCTACTCCTGAAATAAGTTGAGCGTATATTGGCCACGGGGCATCCCTTAGACCAATACGAGCCAACGACTCAACATAATTATTTCAGAGTGCTGTGGGTTCTTAAGGAGAAATCCTTAAATCAAGCACGCGGCAGGAGCGATATGTGACATCTTTTCTCCGTACAAGGTGTTCCACCTGTTTGGTCTCGGAGGGAGTAGCATTCTTCTAGTCTGTTGAGTTTTGGGCACTTAAAGAGATGATGGTCAACAGTTTCGTAGGGGTAGTTACATAGCTGGCACTCTGGGAAGTGTTGTGGTTGTATTCTGTTTAGGTGTCCATTGAGTGGAGTATGTTGTGTTCTGAGTCTGAAGATGGTGGCCTGGTCCCTTCTTGTTAAATGGTTAATGTTGTCATTAGGATCAGGGCTAGCCATGTGTCTATGAACCTCTCTTCCAGTACCTCCTGATTGTGCTTCCTGTTGTTTGGCTGTGCCGGTGTTACCACACAGCCACCCACTCCTCAAGAGTATTAACACCACATGTACATGTTTTAGAGTACTTTTTCTTCGCATTCACTGGCTGCAAACTCCAGCAGAAAGTAAGGTCTGAACCTAAGTGTTGCCTGCACATCTGTTTTGCAGATCCAACTTATTTGTATGCAAATGTTTGGTTCTTTGCTTCTCAGGCAGATTTTCTCCAACTTCAAAGGAAGCCAGCCTCCAGTCAGTCAATACTTACGACATGCTAGCTAGGAAAGCAGTGGGTCTATTCTTGTTTTTCCTACAATAACAGGGCCCCGGAACCCACACAGAGATTTAGAGTACAAATAAGGCAACAGAAATGATACGAAACACTAAAATACCTTTGCTTCCACTGGTTTCTTCAGTGCTCGTTTAAATAAGTCATCAGATGCCAGCCGAGTCCTCCTCATGCTGAGATCCAAACTGGGGCCCATAGATTCCAGCTCCACTCTGGGGATTCTGGATCCAGACTTCTTCAGCAAGACCCTGGGCATATCAATATGTCACGTTATAGCATAAACAAATTCAACAGGAAAGGGCCCTATTCATGCACCACATATACAGGTTGGCTCAGTGATTCTCAAACTGTCGCAGCGCGGTGCCCCGGCAAGCCGCTACCTCTTCACAGGGGCGACACAAAATATTTAAAGGACAAACTTTAATTGAAAAAAGGCGTAGCGACTGAGAAAAGTCTGGGAAACACTGGGTTATCCCATTATATTTTCTAGACACTCAATGGAACAATATGACCAACATTACACCAATCTCCTTCACTTCCCAGGACATTTCCTCATTTCTACACATTTTAAGTTGGGTTGACCTGAGAGCAAGGTCATTTATTAAAAAAAACCTGACATGATGCAGATTTGAACTCAAGAACTTTGGACTGGTAAGCAAGCATCTAGCCCACACTTATGACAGCTTCTTTGTTTTAACTTACTTTATACAGTTTTCCTTTAAAGTAAACAATGCAATTATAAGAATAATAACTGGATTGGTCTCTTCTTCAGCATTCCAAGCCTTTGAGGTTTATTGCTGCAGATATCACCCACCTCCACTAATCTTTCTGGTTGGCTTTCTCTTTCCAGTTGGTAACACCAAGTGTTTGCAGGTCTGTCTGGACATAATCTCTCCATCATTTTCTTGGTCTGCCTTTTGGTCTATGACCATTTATCTCCCTTGTGCATTCAGTTTTTACCTCTCTGTCATCTGATATTCTCTCAATATGCCCCAGCCATTTCAACCTATTAGCTCTCATGATGCCAATGATTAATGGTGATTTAAACAGACCATGAATTTCATTGTTGCTTTTCACTCTTCATTCCTGCTGTTTACATCTTTGATGGGTCTGAAGATTTGTCGTAATACTGTATTAAGCCTTCTCCTCTTTTAGTAGTGCTTCAAGTTTCAGAGCTGTATAAAACGACTGGTCTTATCAACATTTTATATATTCTGATCTTGGTGTTGCAAGATAGTGACTTTGACTTTAACAAATGTTAAAGAGCACAAAATAATTTATTTCCAGACTGTATTTCTGCTCTTAGCATGTTGGAGCAGTTGAAGTTTGCCTCCAAGTACTTATATGTTTCTGTTCGTTTGATTTTCTATCGAATTGTATGTGGCCAGAGTTTACACCCTTTCCCTGTCTTATTATTAAAAGTCATTTTGTGAGCTCCTTTTAAGAGAATCAATGTTTTTATAGTCCCTAGTTCATTTTCTCCAACAATATCAATGTCATCTGCATAACCAAGTATTCTTGTAGTTTCTCCTATAGTACACTCTTTTATCAATTTCCTTTTAATTTTCTCCAGGGCCAAGTTGAACAGAAGTGAGAACAGAGCGTCACCTTTCTTCAAACCAGATTTGAAAAGGGTCTGATTTTTTGCCTTTATATGTTACTACATTATAAGTGTCTTCCATACATAGTTTGGTCGTGGTGATTAATTTCTTTGGTATTCTAAAGTCATTCATAGCATTCAATAAATTGTTTCTATGTACACTATCATACGCCTTTTTAAAATCCACAAAAACATTATGTATATCTCTTCTAAATTTGCTGCTACACTGAATCTTGAGGTAGTAGCAGTACTAGTTTTCATTAGAAAATGAGGGAAATGGTTTTACCGTTTAATTTGGCTGCCAAATAATGTATACCATAACGAGCAATAACAGACCAAGCGGGGATCAAAACCCTGGGCAATCATGTTCACAGCAACCCCATAAACCAAGCACATACTGTTTATACTAAACCAAAACACCATAATGTACAAGTGGAACAAATTATCATTTGATGAGACTGTACTTCAGAGTAACAATTTATGAGTCTATGTTAGTATAAGACACATAAACAGAAGCAAGACTTCTGTTGATATTTTTTGGGGGGACTTATTCTTCAGGGTGTAAAAGTATTAAGCCTATTTACAGCATGGATGAGATATTTAAGCTTTTTTGCGGACATATCCAACTTCATCGGACATATGTTGTCCGGTTAGCCTTCATGGTTAGTTTTGTAACTGGCTTTGCCACATGGCCCGCATGTCATGTACATCCTCATCCTTCCTCAAGAGACAGCAGGGGTAGAACATGAGAAACTTCAGGAGACTTTCATAAATGATCACTTCTTAGTGATTATTAAATGAGGCAATTCTTGTGGCTCCTTTCATTTCTTTCAATACATCACTCAGCATGCTCTTGTGCTTCTGCATGTTACTTTTAGTTTTAAGATATTTGACGATGTCAACCTAATCTATTCTTCTAGTGCCTTTGTATTTTAATCTAACATGATATGATTGAAAGCCTATGCTCCAATGGAGGATTAAAACCCAGAAAATAACAAGCATAATTTACCTGTAGTTGCGAATATAGATTTTTCCATTCACAGCATGAATGCTGATCACATGCTCTAAACCAGACAGGCAGATTTTGTTGACATTTTCTCCACGGAAAAAGTCTGAAATAAACAAACAGAAAAATGACCAGTCAGTGAATTATATGAAAGACCGAGTCTTAACTGATCAATTTTCATAAATCAGATTCTGTGTGTGGGTTCTGGGGCCCAATTGTGAGGAAAACAAGAGTAGACTCACTGCCTACCCAAAAGCATGTCACAAGAGTCGACTAATTGGGAGCTTCCTCCGAAGTCGGTGTGCATCTGCCTAAGAGGCAAGGATACAACAGTTTGAATAGAAACTCATCAGATCTGTCAAGCGGATGCACACGCAACACTCAGATTCTGGAACAAGACCTCAGCCCAGAAGTGGACGAACAACCAGAACTTCCCGCCGGAGTTTACAGCCAGTGAACACGAAGAAGAAGACTGCCTACACAAAAGCATGTTGTACGAGTCAACTAATTGGGAGCTTCCTTCAAAGTCAGAGTGCCTCAGCACGAGAGGTAAAGAGAAAATAGTCTGCAACCAAATGAATCAAATCTGTAAAATGGATGTGGAAATAACATTCAGGTTCTGAAACCAGGACTACTAGTCCAGAAGTGGGGAAACAATCAGAACTTTCCACCTGAGTTCACAGTCGGTGAACACAAAGAAGATAATCAGATGCAGTATTAGAGGGTTCTGATGATCAAAGGACTGCACCATACCATTCTCCTGATAAAAGTCAAAATACACACCATGTGACACTTTGAGAACCACAACTTCAAGACATTTTAGACGCAATAGAATCACATGGTATGAGAAGGCACAGCTGTGACGCTGTGATTTTGTTCACAAGCACGAGCAGAGAGTTTAAGGCTGTTGTGATATGTATATGGAGATACTCCATGCCTCACTTAGGGCATCAGCTGGCTCTGTGCTGGTTTAACAGATGTCTCAAGAAACTAAACGGAAGGATAAACCAGATAACAAATGCCCGAAGAAGTTGGATGTTTCGGCTGAAAGGTGCAAATACTGCAGCTATGCTGTGAACAGATGTATTTATGTCCCTTGGACAAAGATGAAGCAAGCCCCACCCCCCTCGGATCACAAGGAAAGGAGCTTAACAACTTTAACACAATGACCCCCCTAAAAATAAATTCAATTATGAACGTATAAAGAGAAATGTTACCAATAAATAAGTTTTTGAGCCGTTTGTTATCATCATTCTCATCAAAGAACTCGCCGGACACAACAAGACATGGTTTGATCCCCACGGGTGTTTTCTGGGCCTGTAGAATATCAGAAAGGATTTTAGACATAAATTACATATCCTAGAAAGGATATTAGACATAAGTAATACATATTGGATAGGATTTTAGATTCATATTAGGTGACATGCAGAGCAACAACAAATTTTGTGATTTGTGTATTTCATTCAAAAAGATTCATCTTTATGCTCTGTTTATTCATCATCATCAAGCTGCTTGCTGACTGGCATGGGCAATCATGCCTCTCCTCAACCTGTAATCTCTAGCAGCATGTATCAGATCACATAATGCCATAGCATAGGCTGTCAAGAATCTTTCTGCAGTCTTACATCTCTCTTTCTATAAATCTTTCCGCACATTCAAGTTTGCCTCTTTTCACAACAGGGCCAAAAAATTATGACTTTCCTTTTATCTTTGTGACAAGATGTCTTTGGGCCTCATTCCTTGTGTAGGTTCCACGGTCCCATTTTGGCGGGGGGTGGGGGAACAGATCCACTGTTACCTTTAAAGTCTGAGTGCATCTGCCTGAGAGGCAAGGAGCCAACAGTTTGCAAATAAGCCAGACCTGTAACACAGATGTGCACCAAAATGCAGGTTTGGAAACAAAACTAAAGTCCAGAAGTGGATGAGCAACCACAACTTTCCACTGAAGTTTAAAGCCTGTGAACGCTAAGAAGGATAAAAGGAGTCTTTAAGCCCTCGTCTTTTTCAAATTATCTGAATTACTCATTCTGGCTTTTGATATAAAGCCTAAAGCATTACACCTGGACATAAAATTGCTATATATTTGTTCCCGCATTAAATTCACAATAAACAAACACATCAGCATTTGCAAACGACTTAGCTATATGGACTAGCTTGCACGGTGGGGAATGCTCATGTACTGCATCTGCTTTCTTTTGAGCGCTGATCAGCATTACGTGGCTTCTCTGGACCAGCCTAATGTGACCTGGGAAACAAAGGTGACCAAACACTAATGAGACTGCAATGTTGGCCGAAAAGCGCAGCCATGCTGTAAACTGGCACAAAGCAATTACATCTCCGGATGAAGGCAAGAAGAAAAAATGAGCAAAAAGAAAACATTATTTTCACACACACACATATATATAAATAATATATATATATATATTATTTTTTTTAAATATATATATATTCCCTAAAATGGTACAAATAAAAGACTAAATAAATGTCCAAAATTTGAAAAGGTAAAGCCAGGAGATAATAACCAGTGTCATTGCACATGGTTAAAAACCATGAGTGTTCTGTCCCCAGTATAGACAGCTGATAAGAAACTGTCCGCCTGTGTCACCATACACATGTAACTCTGTAGCTACAGTGACATTCCTCCATTTACCCCAGAGTGTTAACTCTGGACCCATTAACTAGAGGCTGGGTGAACCCTGGGAACTGCCTCATTTCAAACACCGGCCGTGGGCTGCAGAGAGTGGCAGTTGAATTTAAAAGCGAGTCTCCTACTGTCTGCGCTAACATGGTCTAAAATATTTAAAAATTTAATTCTTTACATTGGAGAAAAACATTACCCTGATTTCCTGCATGGACACAAATTTGTCTACACCAAACTCCACCATGTCCAACACTTGCCCATCAAACAGTCGACCTAGAATTTATTTAAAAAATAGCTGCATTCAATTACAGAAAGCCAAGAAACTAACTAAAAACTACTAATATCAAATTATAAGCTTAACGCTTGCTAAGATTACAGAGAATCACTAGTGAGGCACTGAAGTGGGAAACACTTACAAAGTAAGGACATCCAAGAGAAACCATATGACAAAATTTGTTCAAACCTATTCCATCCATCATATAGAAAGGAGCATATATGATATAATGGAACAGACTAGACAGAGCACTTTGTGAAATATAATGGCCCAACAGGATAAAGATGACTCGTGGGATTGATGTGTATCTGTTTGGTGTGCTCTGTGTTTCTGGTTTTGAATAATTTATTGGCACATTCCCGTCTTTCTAGATGATAGTGTTATATTATGCTATGAGGAGGCATGGTGATTGCGAGTGTGACAAGCAAGACCCGCCCGTGTCAAGAAATGTCTTCCACAATGATAGCATGCGATTACAGTACCATTGTTGCCAACATTTGTGTTTAATCCATGCTCAGCTCTCATCTTTTCTGCAACCGTTTCTTCCTTCACTCTCATTCCTTTCCTGATATGCCCTCTCCACACAACATGATTCATGGCATTTTGTTCATGAGTCCACCTCAATACCTGTATAATTCGTGCTAGGGTTCTGTTAAGCTTTTTCACCCCATCTAGCGTGAGATTTGGTAGTTATCTTCTCGTCAATGCTTATGATCAAAGTTTCTCTTAAATATACTTTCTTTTCCAATCTACTTTCATCTTATTTTAGTGCTTAGCAAAACTTATTAGAACAAAACATATTTTGTCCTGACTGGATGGGTCTGTCACAGGTTCATTCTTGACGAGCCAAAAAGATGGATCTGTCATGGTACATCCTTGGGGATCTAAGAAGATGGTTCTGTCGTAGGTTCATTCTTGGGGACCCAAGTAGATAGGGCCTGTCAAAGGCTTTCCTTGGGAACCCAAGAAGATGAATCTTTCATAGGTTCATCCTTGGGGACCCAAGTAGATGGGGCCTGTCAAAGACTTTCCTTGGGAACCCACGAAGATGGATCTTTCATAGGTTCATCCTTGAGGATCATAAGAAGTCTGCTTACTGACATTAACAGCATCTACCCGTTACACACTGGACCGCCATCTACACCTCCCTATTAAGCTTGATGGCAAAAAAAAAAAAATGATGATTACTCATGAAGTGAGAAATACTTTGAAAAGTTATGAACCGAGCTAGATTTGTAGAAAACAAAATGGAAACATGTGCCTAGATGACATTTATCCATAGATACACTTGGCTGTTCTGGATAATTCTCTTAATGAGACTCCTCCAGGTAACAACCTTAGACGGAACTGTCTCATCCTTCTAGATCTGCCTCTGAATCATTTACTGCTGAACTTTCAAACTGTCACAACGTTCTTCAAGACTTCTCTTCCTTGTGATATGCCTAAAGAATAGTTTCTGTCCTACAGATTTTTCTGCCAGGAATAACAGGAAAGTTTAAGGATAAAAGGTAGAGAGACACCAAGAAAGAAGCTTTTTAACAGCTTGCTATCATGTCATGGAAGAATGTTGGTGTCATAAATAATTGCAGTATGTGGGACAGAAGGCTGTGTATGGGCAAGATTAGCATCACAAGATAGCATGGACTATATGAAGTATCAATAAGAGTTAGCTAAAGAGTCAAGTTATTCACAGTAATTAGTACTGCAATAACATATATCTGAGGTCTTGGCACAATAATAATGAAAACATATACCTTCCTTGTTACTTACCTATAACAATGTTGTTTGGTCTCTTCTTAGAGTGACTGCCAAACATAAAAAGGGAGCAATCAGCTTTAGATGAGAAAAACTCCTGAAATACACACCAAATGTTGCAAAAATTATTGTAAAAATAAAGCATTTTCAACATCTTTTATATCTGTCTCGGTATTAGAATGAAGGCTGATAACACTGAAATAAAAAATTAATTTAAAAAATACAGCAACCAATATCGTTATTGCTGGTATCTTTACGTCTTTCCAGATATTATATTATTACAGAGAGTCATGGGAATCGCAGCCCATGATGACAAAATGATTAAGTTTTTTCTCTCCATACCAAATCTGGTTAGTATTGTAAACCATGTGCTGTCCATGAAGAACTATTGCTCTCTCTGCCAGTCTCAATTACTCCAAAAGTCAACACCAGGTCACAAATATTTTTTTTACACAAATCATGTGGCAGAAGCTGCCAGATAGGAACAGCAGTGCTGTCTGTCCACCTGCCGGAGCTTCCAGCAGTGCTGTCTGTCCACCTGCCGGAGCTTCCAGCAGTGCTGTTTGTCCACCTGCCGCAGCTTCTCTCCTCTACCAGCAGCTGACAACCAAAGCCTCTTCTTCTGTGCAGATAGTTTTAATGCTTTCCTCTTCTTAGGATATAGCTAGTATCCTCCGTAATGCACTCCTTCACTAACAGTTTTGGCAAAAGTGGGATGTCAAGTTTGGTTTAAGCACCCAACATTCAGGACTCACACACACAAAAACAGGTGTTACCGACTATTGTTATACAGTGGCTCAGACATGCCTGGCCAAGATCTGACAAGACCAGTTCTAATCTCAGCCATTCTTTCTGTTGCACAATCATGATTTGGTCATCTTCTTCATGTTCACTGGATGTAATCTCCGGCAAGAAGTTCCAGTTATGAATCCACTTCTAGACTTTGTTCCAGAACTTAGTTGTACAAGCATACCCTCTTTACATATCTTTCTTATCTGTGTGCAGACTGTTAGTTCCTTGCCTCTCAGGTAGATGCACTCCAGTTTTAAAGGAAACCCCTTATGTTCACCTTTTATGACATACAGCAGCTCTGTTCTATTCTTCCCCCCCCCCTCAACTAACATAGGGAATTATATGGTTAGAATCCCCACTTCTAAATAAATTTGAAGCTCCATAACCAACCAAACACACCCTACTAGTTACCGTACAGAGAGTTAAAGGGATGCTTTGAAACACAGTCCTTGTGGAGACAGTGCTTAGGTACTGAGTCTTTACACCACACTTAGGTAGATTCAAGCATGTTTTAGAGCCCATAATACATTCTTCAAGGCATGAAATGAGAGTCTCAAGAGTTACAACCCAAGAATTCAGGGACCATCAAAATCTACTGTACATAAACAAATGATAATCATAACTTGCATTATGATATAACACAATTTGTCTATCTTGTGGAGAACACAAGCAGTAAAAAGTGTTAACAAAGTGCACACAACACAACTTCTATTAAAACTAAGACATGACAAATAATTGTACCTAAAATTAACATTAAAAATTATCTTTTCCATAATATAAAACAATAATTACCACAGCACTCTGATCCTCAAATGGCCGTGTCATGTTTTTTCTGCAGAAAAAAATAAATAATAAAGTTGTAAATTATACAGAACAGGCATATTTTTCTTTAGGAACATACTATTTCCCAACAATCAATTTCTTCTTTTTTTTCCAACAGCCATATATTATTTTCCAACAATGATGTCATTACTTTCTAACCAACATGCCCCATTTTTTAGTCACAGCTTATTTTTCAACAGTCATGCCCCTTTTCACACAAGTCATGTTTAAGTCCCAGTTTGTTGTTGTTACAGTCACATCCTATTTTCTAATTCAAGTCTTTTTCCTAACAGTCAGTTTCACACTACTATTATTCAGATCCCAGACATAAAATCTATTTTTGAGACATCACTGTGATAAGTGCTGATGGGAGGGAGGAGGGGGCATTGAATTAATAAGAAGTAAACTCATGATCAATCAAAGAAGTAGAGAACTAATGAAAGTTGTAGTGCATTCTTCTTTTTTGCAAAAAGAGATGGAGAAAGACCAGAAAAGATTCTTGATAGCCTTTGGTCATGGAATAGAAGGGTGTTAGCACATAAACATGTTAGAGAGGCATGTCAACAGGAGTGGTTACTACAGTAGGGCAAGCCTGTTTGCCTGCAGACCCCAGTGGTCTAAATTCCCATCCACACTACATCACATTTTAAAAACTGAAGTAGAGATGGTCAGTGTGATGCTAGCCACATTACCCACTCCTCTATAAAAGTATGAAACTAGTACACTATACACCTCAAGGCTAGAAATGAATAGGGAACTAGAATGGAATCAGTGAGAAGACAAAAGAAGAAGAAAAGGACTGTTTACTGATAAATAGGTTAGTTGCGTATCCTTTACAGGACATTATAGAACTAGCCACAACAGCCCCTGGCTGTTAGGGTTTTTCTAGACAAATTTACGCCCAGTAGTTTGCCATTGCTTTCTGGGCGGTCGGCTTTCTTGATACCACTGTCGAAACCAACGCAAGGCACATGGTCCGCAGCTGGGATCTAACCCGGCATTCCGGCATTACAAAGCGTTCGCATCGACTTAGCCACAGAGCCAACTACTGATAATAAGCAGTCTAATATGGGCATCAAACAATGTCCTGGGAAGTAAAGATGGCTAGTGTGATTTTGACCGCATCAGCTGAGTGCAGAATAGTCTACAAAATCTGAAGACTAGCATCAAATGCCTGATGTGCTGATGCAGACAAAAAGTGTGCTTTACCTACATGTAAGAGCGACCTACCACTGCCAAAGGAAGAACACAAGAATAAACATAAACTTACTTGCTAAATATGGTTGCACATGGCTTCTTCAGGGTGTGCTGGGGAAATAAACATTTCATTGACAATATGAAAGCACATAAGGACAACAATAATACATGAACACTAACCACATTAGGAGACTTCATAGAATTTTGACACCTATGGACATCAAAAAGAATTAAAACTAACAGAAAACTAAAGATCCGGGACTGTTTGGGTTTTACACATTAGAGAGTAGTGATTACTACTTTATGATTTTAGCATAGGAGATCGATCATCAGCTTTTTCTCCAACAAAGATCAGAAATCTTTTAACACCCACAAGCACAACAAAAATGCTTCAGTAGTTGAAAATCAATTTCAGCATGCCATTTTGGCTACTGTCTGGGCTGAATTTCATATTATAAAACTTACCCACAGGTGACTATTTATAATTCTCATATAAAATGTTTTCTTCTTAATGTCCACCAGTTGTAAACTCTGGCTGTTTATCCACTTCTAGACGTTGGTCTTGTTCAAGATTCTGAGTTTTTCGACTATTGTGTTTTTTAATAACTCTTGTGCAGATGCACTCTGACTTCAAAAAAATATAATTCTATCTATGTTGGATGCAGGTTAAGGATTTGTGTCTAAGATTGTCACACAGAAGTGTAGATAGGACTTGACATGCTTGTGCCCTGGTGTACCACAACTGGTTCAGCATCTCTGCATTTCTCTTATATAAACACAGGTCTTACACTGACGCTGCAGTCTGGGCAAGAAACTGGTATTCTCTTTTGTTTACTAGAACATATGGAACTAGCCATGAGCAATTCCTCTTCTTTTGTTCATCCGAAATACATTATCTACATCACCAATTTTATCTCTTGTATAATTTTAAGTCAGAGTTTACATTCCACTGCTGTTCTTTATGGTTTTGGCCAAAAAGTTTGCCTTAATATATCAAATTCAGTGAAGTCATGGAATACATGTTCTGCTATCTGGGGCATCTTTCCACAGGTGCACATGGCTCATACGCCTATCTTGAATTGTGTACATGAGTTGAGTCAAGAACTGACATCACAGCACTCGGGGCATTTCCATGCATGCTCCATCCTCATCTTCAGCAGCCAGTGCAGAGTTCTTATACTGATGGTACTGGTCACAATCTGGTTTTATGACCGTCTTGCCTTTCCTCTGGGTGTAGTGAGGTGGCCAGACCCTCTGGTTGCACCAACTTGTTGCCTCATTCTCTCCCAGCCATAATAATAATCTTTCTATACTGATTTTGTTACTTGTTCCCAAAGGGCCTTGACCACATCTGCCTTTTCATGTATCAATTCACCACCCAGTGGTGCAGATCCAGCCAATCTTGTTGCCTGTTTATTGCCCACCATGCCTGCATAGCCTGGAGAAAAGATCCAAAGTATGCTCACTACCTGTGACCTTCCCAGTCAAGCTTGCCACTCTGCTCAAAGCATCTCTGTCTTCATCTTTCTCGGCATGCTTTCAGAGTATGTTACAATTGTGACATAGATCTTGCTCTCTAGCCACCAGAGAGCTGCAGTCACCCCCATCCACTGTCATTCTCATGCCAGACATTTTATTCTGTGTACATGTGGTTACGTAATCGACTGTGTCCTGTTCTGAAGCGAAAGTCATGAGCAATGAAAGTTATCCCGAAAGAAAAAACTGCCATTACTGTCAGTATTTACCACATTTGTGGTGTAGGCAGGGAGTTTTTAAGCCCAAGCATTTAAGGCTGCATGGCCAGTGCAGCTGCCACGCCCTGTACAGTTTAGGATTTTACTTCTGCCACACCCCCCCCCTTTCTCCCCCATCAGAAAAAACCCAACCTTACCAAAGACTGCCCTGGGTTGCCCACAGCCGGTCACTCCCCCCACCATCCCTCTCACATTTTATATAACATATATTTTAACCTACCAATTCTTTCAACACCTGGCTAACTGTTTGGCTTGTGTTTCCACCTTTAAGAAACAATGCATGTTTTGTGTTTTCGATAATTTTAGGCTCCTTCTTTTCCAATGCCCTCCGCCCTCGCTGCGTCTTAGGTTTACTGAAATGAAATCAAGTCCATTAGAGTCTTACAGCTTTAGAAGAAAAACTATCCAATGAATCAAAGATGGCACTGGATAGGGCACAGTGAGAAAACCTGATAACATAACATGAATGTCTTTGATCTGGAACATTACACTTACTAAAACTTGCATCTAGAGGGTTTTCCTGTAAAAAAAAAATTGAAATGATGAGGTCGTAAACTAGATGGCTTAGACGCAAATACAATGGAGGAGGCTGCAGAAGAAGCGGTAGCTGCTGCTCGTAAGTCCCAGCCATCTAGTTTAGCCCCTTCCGTGCAGCGGGGGATACTCTCGAAAGTGGCACTATAGTCGGCGAAGAGTGGTCTGCAACTTACATATAACTGAGGCCCTACCGTAGGATAGCCCTATCGGGTGTATTCTTGTGTTTCGCTAATTTTTCCTCCGTAGTTAATCCTAGTTATGCCGCTGTTTAATCGTCGTTAAAAAATCTGTTGTGTTTAGCGAAAATGTCATGTGCAATTAATCCTTTTGACGCAGTTGAATCGCCGCATAAGAAATGCAAATTCTAGATATGACTGAGGCTCTGTTAGGGTTCACTTTCTGTGTAGATAATTTAGGACCGTTATTCGGAGGAGAGCCAGTTTCAGCTAAAGACTATAATAACTGCTTAAAGTTGAGCTTTTGAGCTGAAATGCTGTAGAAAAATTCTCAGAAAATCTTGAACGAAACAAGAGGAGAAATTATGACATTTTGAAAAATCTGAATATCAAGGAAGATTGGCTAATAAACAGCATCCTGTCTGAGACGGTGTCTCGGAAACTCAGTGAAACTGAAATATGTTGGTCGGCTCTCCTCGGAACTTCTACCCCTGCATTATGGCGGCCTGAAATATCCGTTCAGGGCTCAGTCCAATGAAAAATTCTGACTTTCTGCCAAGGAACAAATTGCCGCAAAACTAGGATTACTTGACAATTTCAAGAGACGCAACATTGCAGACAATAGTAGCAGACGATAAAGGCGACCGGTGACAATGGGTGTTTCTGCAGACGATAAAAGCGACCGTTGACAATTTCGAGAAATTACTGATGATGAAAGCGATATGGCGGAGAGACCACGCGCTCCCACGCAGATTAGCAATACTGTTCTTCCGATTGAGGATTTAGCAGCGGTAGATGTCAGACTTGTCAGCGTGCGCAAAACGCGATTGATTAAACTCACCGATGAGCGTATTCCCCCGCGCCGCTACGCGCAGATGGGGGGCTGAACTAGGTGCCTGGGATACGGTCGGCGGTGAGGCATAGTCACAGAAACAGGTCCACAAGTAACATATCGCTGAGACCCTGTTAGAGCAATTGTTTCGTTTTTACGAGCCGATGCTAGATTTGCCGCGATTTGTTCGTCGTCCGACAAGTACCCATTGATTTTACATATTTGTTCCATCAGACAATGGAAAGTGTCAACGGTCGCTATTATCGTCTGCAAGTAACATTTCGCTGAGACCCTGTTAGAGCATTTGATTTGGCTCTCCTTTAAAGAAGGGTCGCTAGCTGGAAGGCGACGGCCGCTTAGTCGGAGTTCACTCCCCTGGCTGCAGTGCAATTACGGAGTAGAAAACAGGGAAAGAAACAAATCATATAGTTGCCTGTCATCCTAGAGTTAGGCTTAGGGTTTGGGGTAGTGTTGGGGTTAGGATTTGGGGTAGTGTTAGGGGTAAGGTTAGGGGTGGGGTTTGGGTAACACATCATGGAAACGACGGAAGCTTATCGCTCATTACGACATACAGATCCGCAGGTCCCACATCTGCGGTCACTAAGTCTTGCACCGCAAGACCGCGGTCGCTACTGTCAGTCGCAGCGCGTGGTCTAGCTCTAGCAGGCATGTCCACCTCACTTTGTTTTTTTATTCATGACTTGTCTGCTCTGTAATTGCACACTGCAGCTAGGGGAGTGAACTTCGACTAAGCGGCCGTCGCCTTCTAGCTAGCGACCGTTATTTAAAGGAGAGCCGAGCATTTGTTTCGTTATACGGAGCCGGCGTATTTTAATAGAACTGAGCCCCGAACGGATATTTCAGGCCGCCATAATGCGGGGGTAGAAGTTCGCAGGAGAGCCTTTGGTCATATAATATCAATATCAAGCGCCAGACGGATTGAAAAAAAATATAGCAGAAGGCATTGTACCAGGGGCCGATCAACACGAAGATGGGCACAGGATATAATAAGTGACTGCTTGAGTATGAAAGTACATGAAGCGGGAGAGCTGGCGAGAGACCGAGTTTCTTTCAGGCAGACGGTCACGGTGATGAGATGATGAGTGAAAAGAACCTGCTTCATGATGATGATGACACACTCACACAGTACTACACTACAAACAACTTAAACAAAACACTAACATCAAATTGCTTGTTAAAAAAAATTAACATACAATATTTATTTTTGTAAGTAAACTAACCGTTAGTACAATTAAACCATTGGTTGGTTAATAAACTAATAGTGAACATTACTTACACAACTCGATTCATTTTCGTGTCAAGCGTGGCAATCCGACAAATGTTTACAAGAAAGCTTTCCACCACGCATTGGAAAACTTACGGCTCGGCTACTTTTTACTTGAGTTTCGTACATCCGTTTATTCAACCTTTAATTATTTTTGTGTATCATCTTCTTTACGTCTTCTTTTGCCGCTTCAGGTGTCGAGGGAGATCTAAAGTCCTGCTTTGTGCTCTTCTGGCTGCTTCGACCATAGACACATCGTAGTGCAGAGTTTCTCTGATGCATCTTCCCATGTTGTTCTAGGTCTGCCACATGTGTATGTGTGCGTATATGTATGTAGGTGCATGTATGTATTATGTATGTCTGTATGTATGAGAATGTATGAATTTAAATGTGTAAGTATGTGATTGTATCTGTGTGTGTATATTTATGTATAATGTGGGTGTATGCAGGTATATGTAGCTGTGTAGGTATGTGGGTGTTTGTGTATTTATAAAAGCATACAAGTGTGCATGTGTGTGTGATTGTGTGTGTATGCATGTGGATATATGAAAGTATAGTTAGGTATGTATGTATGTGTGTAAAGATGTGAGTTTAGGTATAAATGTGTGGATATATGTATGCATGTGTGTGGGTGTATGTAGTCATGTAAGTGTAAATGTGTGGTTTTGGGCATATGTTGGTGTCTGTACATGTAATGGTATATGTGTGTATGCATGGGTGCATGTATAGATGTATATATATGGAATGCGTGTGTGCATGTATATCCATAAATGTACGTGTGTGTGTTTTGTTTGTGCATTTATTTCTGTGTATGTGTATGCTTGTATATGTATGTAGATGCAGGTGTGTATGTATCGCGTATGTCTGTATATGAGTTCACCTGTATGAAAATGTAGATGTACGTATACGTGTGTGTGAGAGTGTATGATGGCGTACACACGATGTGTGTATGCATTATATATTTCTTTTTAAATCCATAACATGCATTATTGATAACAGATATTAGTACTCTGAAAATGAGTACTTGGAAGGGCCGAATGTCAGACGGGCCTGCGTGCCCAATTTGTAACCCTTTGAAAATAAAGTTTGTTCGTTCGTTCGTTCGTTCGTTCTATGTCTACGTCCTTCTCGTCTTTTCGTAAATGTCTTTTATGGTATAGCATCAGAAGGCATTCTCTCAAAGTAAGCAAGCCATTTGATTTGTTGTTGTCTTTGCATGTGATTTAGAATTGGTTCTGTGACGACTTTATCTCGTATGTCCTCATTCCAGATTGTATCTCTTCTAGTCATTCCTACAGTGCAGTCTTTCTCAGACACCTTATTTCCATGGTTACTAATTTTCTTGTGTGAGTCTGGCACTGGTAGCCATCTGTGCTTATACTGTCATTGTGGGTGATAAACAGGAGTGGTGATAAGACACATCCCTGTCTTACTCAAAATGTAACTTGGAATGGTTTGGATGTTCCCTTATTTATGGTTTGGATGTTCCCTTATTTATTCTAACTACACTTCTATAATCTCCATATAAGCTTTTGCAAACTTCAATGAGGTGTTCACTTACTCCATATCGAGCCATTACTTTCCATAATTTTTGTCTAAAAATTACCCCTAGTCTACAAATGCTCCTAATAAGTTTTGATCATATTCGGTGAACTTTTCTATTAACTGTTTAAGTGTGAAGACTGCATTTGTGCAGCCTCTATTTCTTCTGAGACCCATCTGTTCTTCTATCAACTGTGGTTCTATCACTGACCTCAGCCTCTTTTCAATTATTTTAGCATTCATTTTTCCAACACCACTTAAAAATATCTCAACATACATATTCCCAACGTGACTTAATGAATGAATGAATGACTTTCTACCCCACTAGGACATCACACAAGCGATAAACACCCGATGACACAAAGTGACACCATGTGGATGAGAATCACCGTGGAGAGGTCCCAAAAACCGCGTTCAGACAATTGGCCATATTTATGGCCTGCCTATATTGCGGCCCATGGCAAAAGCCAGAGTGGGGCTTCAAATAACAAAAAATTACGTCCTAAAAAGGACGTAAGAATATATAGTAAACGTTACTTAAAAGAGAGATGCTTTGATATTGACTTGATATCTCGCTTGTTTTCCCTTGTTCTTCGGCAATGGTACAACTGTTGCATGTTGCCAGTCAATAGCAGCAGTTTCTTGTACCCATGCCGCATTAAATATTCTGTGGAGCCAACTAATATCACTGTTGCAGTGTAGTCTTTGGTTGTTCATTACTGGGAATCTCATAACTAATTGGTTAAAAAGCTTACTAAAGTATTCTCTCCATCTTTAGCTACCTCTGGTGGGTCCATTAATGGCTTTCCTGGTTTATCGTTAATTACTATTGTAGGGTTCTAGCTCTAATCTCTTTTTCGCATAATTTTTACTACTTTGAAAAATGTTCTGCTTGCAGTTTTCTCCTTTTCTGCTAATGACTCTAAAAAACGTTCCCATGAATCTTGTTTTGTTTTCTTGATCCTCTAACTGGTGTCTCTT